TCCCATCCAAAAAGATACAAAAACACTCTCTTGTGTGGTTACAAAAAGGTAGCAGTGGAGCTATAGGAAGCACAATAAATGAACATTTGGTCGACACTAGTCATCTTATCTGCACGATCTATTCCTTTTGCTGATCTAAGAACGTTAGTTTTTTGATTATAGCTTGATTCCACACAGTATTATTGGTACAACTATGGAATTTTCAGCATGTGATTTCGGTAGCCCAAATTTAGCAGGCCAACCATTGATATCAGGTGTACTTCGGCCGAACCTGGACCATGTGCATGGCCGGCGAGCGTCCTAACCGTTGTGCCACCGACGCGCTGAATCATTACGTATTCGGCTCATCAGCAGATATAGTAACACTCTATAAATTCACTACCTGTTAATCTGGGCTGTGTAAAATGACAAACGTTACCAAGCTGGGGTTCACATGATAAGTGGAATGATAGGTTATATGATAGAGAACCAACCAAAATAGCGCAAATATATCGATACAATTATCACCGAGACGCTCTTTGGTCATCTTAAAGGCCCCGCTACATCATCTATTTGGTTGTCATTTGATTATCAATTCATTGACTGAACTAAATAAAATACATTTTGGTGTACTCAGTTTGATTTTAGAATCTTATTCACTTATTTAGTCCATCCAGCTGAATGCTAGTCGTATTTTAAGTTCGTGTTGAACGGCTCTACAGTAAATTTCTGTTTCACTATTACAACAATTAAAAGAACTCTCACATTTCCTTTCAAATACCGATATAAAATCAATATTATGTTAATGTTAAATAATCACTCAAAGAAAATGGAGTGGACCAAATCGTTTTCAGAAGTTGAAAGAATCACAAGCATACCCTTTATAAATCATTCTGAAGAACTGAAAAACCTTCGCTACCTTTCAGGCCTTGGTCTCTGTAAAACCAGTACTGAGAAACAATATCCCGAGGGATATGCGATGTATTTTATAAGAAATGAAACCAAAAGTCATTACATTTTGATTTATAATATATTTTCCCTGTATTCTTCTTCTTCATAGATAGTAATTTTCAGATGAATGTTTTCTGTGTATGTGAAGAAAGCATCAAGCAACCTTCAGACTGCTTGAAAACGAAGTCTAAATCATGGTTACCATTGGGAAATCTGATCCTCGACGAGTTTACTAGCTCGCTAGTTTCTTAGCCGGTCCCAAGTCCGGGAAAAGAAGAAGCGTGGGGCTAGCGACCCTACCGTAGAAAACCAATCAAACTGATGCAGAAACTTCAACGCACAAGCTGTGGAGAGTGTGAAGACAGGAATACGTTGGACCGATAGGAAGACTCTAGAAGATCTGGATTTCGCAGATGATATGTGTCTAATGTCACACGAATTAGAAGACTTACAGGCGAAAACCAAAAAACTCGCTGAAGAGGCTGGCAGGCAGCGAAGACAGGACTTCAGGTGAATACAAAGAAGACGGAGGTGATGAAGATAATCAACCACCAACAGCAACAACAACCAGTACCAATCACCATCAACAGGAGAATTTTGACAGAGGTTACTTCCTTCACTTATCTGGCTAGGAAGCACGGTTTGAACCATAGGCGGGAGGAACGGATGAAAATGTCGAAGCCAGCTAGGTTCGGAAAGGCAACATGCACGTTCATCAACCTGAAACCTATTTGGAAATCTTCTGCTATCACTCAGTCAGCATAAAGAAAAATGTTTGGATTTTCAACACCGATGTTATGTCAGTCACTCAGTTCTTCTATACGGGTCAGAAACTTGCCGTGTCACGAAAAGGATTTCCCACAAGTTACACAATTTTATGGCCAACCGTCCGGTCAGAAAGAATCAGTAGCAAGAAACTGTGGGAAAAAACGAACCAATAGCCGGTCGTTCAACAAACATGAAGAAGAAAATGGAGATAGATCGGGTATACACCGAGGAGACCATCGAATGACATCGTGCGACAGGCCCTCCAGTGGAATCTCAATGGGAAGCGACGAGTGGGTCGTCGTTATGAGAGTGGCATGGAGGAGACCGTGCGAGAAGGAGATGAGAGATTATGAGCTATCGTGGGTCCAACTAAATAGGACGGCAGAGAATAGAAGAAAGTGGAGATGTGTTGTTGAAGCCCTATGTTCCACTCGGAACCAAAAGGGAATAATAATAATAATCGCTAAATCTGTTTGTATCATCAACTTTAGTTCTAGGAGTATAATCTGAATATTTTGTTCATCTAATATTGTTGTACTGGATTGCATAGCGGTATTTTAAATGCAGAAAATAGCACAATTAGGCCTTCATCAATTTCTTTCAAAGTATATATACACGAATTTCTCTAAACTGTGAAAATGAGGATGTATACCTGTACATTTATTATATTTATCAATAAATTACTCTAATAAAGGATAAATATAAGTTTATTACTTACCAACGCTTAAATAAGATTTAGAATTAGAAGTATATTCTGGCCAATGAACTGGTACTTTCTTCGTTTGATGTCCAATAAATTCTTTATTTGGATCCCTTTATATTTAACAGTAAATTTAAAGGTTGAAAGTATATTTGTTAAGGAATTGCTCAACTCTTTTTAAATTGTTTATATTCATTTTATGATTGATATTTGAAAAGATAAGTAGCAAACAAAGTTCATTTTATCACAAGCTAAAATTAATGAAAATGATCATTAGAAATCAAGGAGCGCTATAAAGTTATACCGTCTTCTTTCGGGTTCCATAAACGGTAATTACCTATAATTTTTCTGGGGATTGAGGCCAAGAATATCTGCTTATGGAATGAGCATACAGCCACTGACTCAGAATTCAGTAACTTACAGTTCGTGATACATGACACTATCGTCATCGGATCTCATCTGTGAGTAGAGCCTACTGGTCGTGAATTTCTATAAAAGTTGCAGTATGTCCACCTGGAGGTTAGTTGCCTAAGTGAAATAGCTTGAAATTACCTTGTTGGATTTGTTGAGAAATGGTCGATTCCAAGATTGGTTTCACAATAAGACATTGAGCTAGGTGGCACAGATTTTGTGATAATGCAACTTACTATTTTTTTACTCAATATTTACTCGGCTTTTCCACACCTGTAAGTGGCTGATTGAATACTGAAGAAGGCAAGATGGGAAAACTTTTTCCATGGTTCTTTTTTTTATTCTGTAGCTCGAGCTTTCACGTATATGAGAATAACAGTCTTACTGCACATAAAAAATTACAAATATTGAATAGAGTCATTGAAGCGTGAAAGTAAATGATATGCATCGCATTTGAATCAACTGGAATTCTAAGTTTTAGCATTTGGAACGATAACTAATAAATAAAATTTTGTAAGTTTAAGTAGAAAAATGCACTAAAAATAGTTCTTTTCATGAAGTTTCTTAAGTGAGTACAAAAAATTCACTAAAGGGGTCATTTGACATCCACAGCCTCTTTTTGATTTAGCCTCATATTACCAGTCTCGTTTAAATAATAATAATAAAAGTCACTTTATTCCAAACAATATTAATTGTACGTAATGGGATTTTCAATGTTTTTATACATATTGCAACAATTTAGCTCCCTTTATAAATATACATATGCATAAAATTTAAAATAATAATGAAATCACAAAAAACTGATTGTTAGTGGGAACATAATGAACTATAAACAGATAATACATGTAATAATGATCCTTATTTATACTTTGGATAATGCGACAAACAGCGGGCAACAAAGAAACAGGCATAAATGGACTCACACAAAAAACTTGGAGGATCTGGACTTCGCTGATGATATATGTCTGATTTCTCACAAACTGGAAGATATGCAAGCGGAAAGTAACAAGTTGGCAGAAGAAGCATCCAGTAAAGATAGGACTTCAGGTGAACATAGAGAAATCAGAGGTGATGAAGATTCCTTGTCAATACCACCAACAGTAACAACAACAGACAACAATCAGCATAAATGGATGGAACCTGAAAGAAACAACCTCTTTTACCTACCTGGGAAGCATCGTTTCAACTACAGGCGGAACTGACGAGGATATCAAAGCAAGACAAGCTTTCACTACTCTCAAGTCTGCGTGGAGGTCAACAGCACTCAGCATCAAAAATAAGATCCGAATTTTCATCTCCAATTTGAAGTCAGTGCTACTATACGGATCAGAGACTTGGTACATCATGAAGAGCACTTCGAAAAAACTACAGACCTTCATTAACAGTTGTCTTCGCTAAATACCACTCAAGATCAGATGGCCAGAAAAGATCAGCAACAGGCAGGGATCTCTGGGAGCGAACCAACTCAGCAGGAACCGATTGTAAAACAAATAGGCAGGAAGAAATGGAGATGGATTGGCTGGCCATACTCTGAGGAAAGCATCAAGTGGCATCACTAGACAAGCCATCGCTCGAGTGGAACCTGAAAGGGAAGCGGCGAGTTGGTCGGTCGTCAGTACAAGGGTGACTTGGAGGAGGTCATGTAAAGAGGAGATGAAAACGTGTGGGCAGACTTGGAGCCAGGTGAAGACTCTAGCAGAGAACCGAAGGCAATGGAGACGCATGGCTGAAGCCCTATGTTCCTCTAGGAATTAAAGGGAACAATAATAATAATACTTTGAATCAAAGAGTTTAAGTTCTTTTCTGACACCCAATTTTTCACATAAAATTCGTGCTAAATATAGTGGTATGGTAAAATTTTTATATTTAGCAGCTGTACGAGCGTGAATTCTTATGAAGTTTCTTCCGGTTTTACGCGAAAAAATACAAGGGAAAAGTTGTGAATAAAGAGGTTGTTCGGTATCAGACAAGATAACTTTAGCCAACTGCTTGCAAGAATTGAGGAGCCTATTGACAATAATGCCAGATAGCTGACATCATTGTCGTTCAGAGGAGAGATTTAGAGGACATTACTAATTCAAAATTACAGTATCATTCAATAGTTTCGGCATTTTCTCAACAAAAAAAAAACAATAACACCTCTTTGAAGCAAACATTCATGGAAATACTGCTAGACCACTAAATCACTTACCCATAATGTATAAAATTTGTTAAATAATTCATAATATTTACTGATATTTTCTTATCGATTTCTGTAAACCTACTAGCAAATGGCTCTAAATGATTTGGACTAACTAAAGGTGCACCGAATAGATATGGAAGGTCATCACCGAAACCAATTTTATGCACTTGGTTACCTTCTTCCTTGACTACTGTATGTCTTACAGATTGTTTAGGTGATCTATGATTAAAGAATAAAGCATAGGTAGATTTTCTATTTGTACTGGCATTGTCCATTTGCACTTTTTGAGGAAAAGTTGTTTTAGTTCGCTTGTCAGCTATCTGGTTCACTTGATTTTTAGCGTGCATTCTTAGTGTTTGCATAATTGGTACAATGTATAATCCGTCAGACAGTATTTCTTGCATTTTCTACAGTATAAAACGATGAAAAAAATAAGGAGATTTAGTAAATAACTAGGCGAAAATTTAAGCAGATAAAATAATTTAGTTCAGTATTAGATAAATGATTTATAGTGTAAACTCATTTGTGATTCAGCCACTAAAACAGAACCATTGATATAGACATCTTGTCCCAAGTGAGCATTAGGCTAAGAAACTTATCATCTTCTTGCACCTTAATTTAGTGTGCGTAGTTGGAAACGATTGGTCTTGAAGCCTGGAACTTGTTGGTACTCATTAGAAGGGCATAAGAACGATATCAAAGGGAAAATGTCATTATCGAGATCCAATACTCTGGTGCAAAAGGTATTCATGAATATCAAATCTATGACATCTTGCCACTTCAGAAAATGGAAGTTACTTATGTGAATTGTTAACCAGTGAAAGTCAGCTGACTAAGATGAGATTAGATTGTTTTCCTCACTTCCTGAAGACTTTATTTTCGGCTAGTAGATTTTCATTTAGAAATTTTTATTAATTAACTCTAAATCTCCAAGTGCTAGTTCGTATGGGTGGGATAAGTTTTGGTTTTCATCATGGATTTATATCAGTTAGAGAACCATTGGAAAATCAGCGATTACTGGGCAGCTGTTTCGTCTTTGTTCGGGACTCTTCATCAGTACCCACCTATGTTCGAATCCGAAACCTTCATGGGCCGTTGGTTTCCTATCCCAATGGCTGAATGGTCAATGAGCCAGCTTCGCAACCTGAAGGTCCTGAGTTCGATCCCTTATTGGGCTTATGAGTGAGACGTCACAAACAAGAACGAAACAACTGTCAAGTTTTCAATGGTTCTCTAACGGATATCAGTGCATGATCATATTTGTAGCTCTTAATTCTAAGCTTTACGAATACGGTTATTTTTCAGTCTAAATGAATAGATGTCTGTGGTTAGACACAATTAAAAGAGAAACTTTATAGACTTGATCATGTATTTACATTCGATTGTTCTTTTTCTGGGTGTTATTAATTTGTAATTGTGAGTACACTTTGAAATTAGCTATTTTCTTACAAATTAATTCTGTCACCGGCAATGTTTTAGTTCAAATGTTCAGGAGGTTTTGAATTTACTTTATTAAAAGCTTCGCTTGATCATAGTTTCAATGTAGTCAAAAAGTAATTAATGCTAAGCGAAACTACTGCCATCAAATTCCTTGTATGGAATAATATCAGAGGGATAATTGATTAAGTATATGATTGTTTAGCTTTCTATTTGCCTACCTGGTAACATTTATTATCCTTGAATTTTTCATTTGAGTGACTACTGCTTGGTGAACCATTTTCCGTATTGCTGAATTCGTCATCAGCTTCTTGGACTTCATTCGATTGGCAATAGATGTGCTCTATGATCTCCTTGATCACATCTTGATTATTCGGATATAGTTCTCTTACAATTTTATTCAGTAACAAACTGTATGGTGATGAATATAAAGCACTTTGTAAGTAATATAGATTGGATACTGGTGACTCAGTCCATCCAACCATCAAGTCAGCATTCATAAATAAACTTGTTTTCATTTCAGTCCGGTACTTCAATTCACTGTCATCATTAGAAGAGTGAGGCGATTTCTGCTCATACCAATGAGTTTCTTGTTGTAAATTGGTGTAATAATTGGCTGGCTGTTTTCCAGACCCATTAATATGGTTATCCAGATTTCTATTAGGTAAAAGGTAACTTGGGAACAAGTGTTTAGATATCACTGGTCCTAAACGTGTTGTCACAAGCGAATGAGACAAATTTTTCTGTAAATCTATTAAATATTCGACAGATGAATTCTTTAATTTTAGGAATAAATGTTTTATGAACTGTCCTGGTACATTACTACTTGCAGAGGTAATATTATTTTTGGAAACTGAAGAATCACCAGCATTTTTTGTATTGCTAAAATTTTCGAATGTATCTACGTTTACGTCTTGTGCAAATAGTGATTTATATCTGTTTTGATCTTTTCTTGATTTGATTTCATTCAAGGTCGAGTTGTTCTTGATACTTTGTGTACTGATATTAAAATGTTTCAGTAATTCATCTAAAACTGATGCACTTTGATGGGATGTTGCCCATGGTGCAAAGCCAGATCCATTGAGTAGAACTATTCGTTTGATGCCATTCGAAGAAGGACCTACAGTGAAATTAAAAGCAATTTTTCAATGATAATTTATGTTCGTAAACCTGATAGAATTGATTAATATCTATGCTCGTAATAGTCTGAATATTTTGACTTCATAATATAAAAAATCAATCCAGTATTTGGTAGCAGGTAGCAAGAAAATGAGTGTCCTATTTCAAACTCTTTATAAACTAGTAAAATCTATCTGCTGGGTGAAATTGATTTGATTCTTTGTGAAATAACAGTTAGTAAATAGCAGAAGAACCAGAAGTTTGGACTGGTGCATGCTGGATTTTAGTCTGACTGGCACAGATAACATGCAAATAAGTATATGTAATAAGCTTTAACTGGAAAACAGCAGTATGTTGGTTGGTTACTAAAATGTTACTAGTACCATTTTCTAGTTTTAATTAATGACTAACTGCGAAGGATTAAAACTGTATTGTCATTAATGAGTTAGAAGGCTTACTTACCTTAGTAGTACGTTTTCACTGTATTTAGGCTGGAATCCCTCCTTGAGGAGTATTTTATAACTGCTGAATTTTCAGCAATCAGGTATCATTGGGAAGGAAAAGCCAACTAAACCAAAACCCGAAGTAGTTAAGAAGAAACCGGGTTTTATCTGTCTAATGTACGAAGGCGAAGTATCCAGAAGAACGGAAAACAGAATCAAAGGTGCATTGAAAAAAACGTTTACCGCAGCCAGACTCATTCCATTTTACAACACAACATTCTCGTTGACCTCATCAAAAGTAGATAAGTATCCTGCCCATGTCAATTCCAACTGCATTTACCAACTCACCTGCACGTGCGGTTGCAAGTACATAGGAAGGAGTGAGGGGAAAGCGTCTACTAGATTCTCAGGGCATATCCCTAAAAGTCTCCGTTTTAAAGGCAGAAAAGTGTTCTCAAGAGCAATTGCCAGTCACCTAATTGACACGGGACACACATACAGTGGAAATTAGTCAGGCTTTCAAAATTATTATTATTGTATCCTTTAATTCCTAGAGGAACATAGGGCTTCAGCCGTGCGTCTCCATTGCCTTCGGTTCTCTGCTAGAGTCTTCACCTGGCTCCATGTCTGCCCACACGTTTTCATCTCCTCTTCACATGACCTCATCCAAGTCACCCTTGCACTGACGACCAACTCTCCGCTTCCCTTCCGGGTTTCACTCGAGCGATGGCTTGTCTAGTGATGTCAATTGATGGTTTCTTCAGAGTGTGGCCAATCCATCTCCATTTCTTCCTGCCTATTTGTTTCACAATCGGTTCCTGGTTGGTTCGCTCCCAGAGATCTTTGTTGCTGATCTTTTCTGGCCATCTGATCTGGAGTATTGAGCGAAGACAACTATTAATGAAGGTCTGTAGTTTGTTTGAGATGCTCTTTATGACGCGCAGTGCAAGTCTCTGATCCGTATGGTAAGTAGCACTGACTTCACATTGGAGTTGAAAATCAGGATCTTATTTTTGATGCTGAGTGCTGTTGACCTCCACACAGACCTGAGAGTAGTGAAAGCTTGTCTTGCTTTTCCGATCCTCGCTTTGATATCCTCGTCAGTTCCGTGCGCCTGTAGTTGAAACGATGCTTCCCAGGTAGGTAAAAGAAGTTGTTTCTTTCAGGTTCCTCCCATTTATGCTGATTGTTGTCAGTTGTTGTTGTTGCTGTTGATGGTGTTGACCAGGAATCTTCATCACCTCTGTTTTCTCTATGTTCACCTGAAGTCCTATCTTTGATGCTTCTAATGCCAACTTGTTGCTTTTCGCTTGCATATCTTCCAGTTTGTGGGAAATCAGACATATATCATCGGCGAAGTCCAGATCCTCCAAGTTTTTTGTGTGTGTCCATTTTATGCCTGTTTCCTCATTGCCCACTGTTTGTCGCATTATCGAGTCTACTGCAATCAAGAAAATCATTGGCGATAGTAGGCAGTGAGCCCTGTCTTTCTCCTGTCCTCACTTCGAAGGATTCCGTAAGTTTCCCGTTGTGGATTACGTGGCATGCAGCATTGTCGTACAGCTGTTGGATGAGATGTATAATTGTCGGTGGCACCCCGACTTCTATCTATAACTTGAAGTTATTGTAAATAGTATGTTCAGAAATTTTGTAACTTATAATTAATTTAATTAGTATGTACTCAGTTGAAGAGAATCCACAAAGTAAAACGAGCTCGTATTATCTTGCAAATATTCTCGTTCCTTCTTTATTCAAAGTATCATTACACCAAGAATTCATTACAATTTTAAATAAGTTCAGAAACCGCCTAAAACCAAAAAGCAGTGAACAGCTGTTTTGGGTTAATTTGGAACTGTTGAACAGCATATACGCACAACTCTGTTAAATTGATAAAATTCACTTTTACTTCATATAACTATGTGGGCGTATTTTAATCGACAACTTAATACACAATGAGTATTAAGAAAACGTTAATTACGTCTTAGGATTCAAAGTTATATGTGATATTCTTAAGTAACAAGTGATTGTTATTTTAACAAAATCGATACAAGTAAGACTTATGAGTACACCTAAATTTCCTATTTCAGAATAGTACTTTTTCTTTTGATAGATAAATACTGGTGCAAATCAGTTTAAAGTCAGTCGTAGGGCATGTTTCATGTGCCCTTATAATTTTTAGAACAAGAAGTGAATCAATTCTCTGTGATAATTTCTTTTTTGTATCTCTTATGCTCAAACTATTTCAACTTTCAAAAGAATGGATACTGAACAAGGAGTACTCTTTTCGATAACTTCATCATCAGGTTCTACAATAATATATACATTATAGTGAATGAATGAATTAGTGTTATGAACAACATTAATGTTGTTTAAATAACATGGAACCAATAATATTGATAGATTACAGCTGAATAGCATCAACATAAAATAAGCTGAATGTCAGAAAAATTAGGAAAGATAGTATTACAAATTCATGAGTTTATAGTTTCTACTGAAGGCCAGGGCAGTAGTAGGGGCTGAACTTGCTTCTTTTGAACATAGAGCACTATTTGTTTGAAGCGAATTGCAATAGCCTGTGCTGTTTGGAGCATGCGGTGCTTCGATGATTTTGGCAATTTATTAGGCACCCGGTAGATGGTAGGGAAGGATTCTTCACCACTGGCTGGCTTTGTGGCCGGTTTGCACCATATGGGCCAATATCGAACTGTTAATGGTTTTAACTACACCTTTACTTAACCATAGTGGGGTATGTTCTCGAGCACGAAAAATCAAATTTCTAGAGCAACGGCCAATATAACTCGCTCCACAAGCGCAGTTGAATTGGTAGATACAATTTGAAGTGACTAATCTAGGTACTTCATGTTTCAGTCGAGGTAGCACCATCGGTCGTGTAGAGAATAATATGTATAGTTCGCCAGCATTATAAGTTCTTTGAACTGATTTTCTTAATTTCCTCGTAATTATCTCCCTTGGTATATCGCCCTTGAATTGTAGTCGTATATAGAGTGGTTTCTTGTTTACAGATAGTGAGTAGTCCTTTTCCGCTTTCTTTATCATATGTTACTTGATAAATTTGCTAAAACTAGTGTATTTTATATTAATAATTATTACTGACCAACTAGGTGAAGATAAAAGCTATCACAAGGTGTTCTCGCTCATAGTATGGCAAACTCCACAACAGATATTCCAGCTGTGTAGAAAAACTTGACAAAATCTCTTTAAAGCAGCCAGACGTAACGTCTGGTATGATTACACGACTTCTCTAAGTACGCAATAAATAATCAAATAAGACCAATTAACTGAAGAAGGTCAAATAGTTTGTTCTATCTATTCAAGTATAATGAAATGAAAGCCCGGTATATTTGTTTTGCTATAACTTATATACTCAGCCCGTTATAAATGACGTCTCAGGTAGTAAGCTCAATTATTTAAAATGCAAAAATATTTGAATACATCCATCACTTAATGAGTACCTCGTATTTATACAATTCTAAATATTTGATTAACAACTTAATTTTATTCAGATTACAAAGTTAACATTACCTTGTGACATTTTTGATAAAGCGAAAAGGTGTACAAGAGCAGCTCCATGACCATAACCAATTAAGGTGATTTCATTTGGATCACCACTGAAACTTTTAATGTTTGTTTTAATCCACATTATAGCTGCATGCAAATCATAAAGTGCAAAATTTCCATTGACTCCATAATTATTTGTTGATAAGAAACCTAGGTGGATTTATTGGAAAACAAAATTCTTCTTTATTCAGGTAAGAGGCATGAATTTCTTGTAATTTTGATTGTTTTAATAATCAGTCTTCTTTGAAAAAATTAGTCATTTTGATGAGTATGTACAATATTAAAAGAAAATGTGATGTAGTTTCTAAATGCGCCTAAAACAAACGGGCCATGTCTCTGTCAAGACATTTCATGTAGACATGTATATAATGAGGTTAGATAAATAGATTTTTGACTAACAGAAACCTCGAAATTGAAAGGGAGAATGGTATAATACTCGTCTCAAGTTTTTGGAGCGATCTGACTGACCTCATTTTGGTATATATATACACTGCTTAAAAGGGTATTTTCATATTATCTATGCCTCAAACTTGCTTTTCATCATCTTATGAGGCTGATTCATTTAGTGTTACATGGCAAATTGCAAGTATAAATAGTATCGTCAAATTATTGCCTGTTTGATGAGAAGTGACTTTCATGGTGAGTTAGTTCAGAGAGTAACTTCGGAAACGATGGAAGCTTGTGCAGCGGAATAGTTGGTGGGAAAACTCCTCCTGAACAATACAGTTGCAACATTGATACTTATTTGAATATTTCAACTAACCATGTAATTATTTTCGTCTTTTGTCTCAGGCTATATATTATTGTTCCAACGTTTTTTTCCCTTCACGTTCCCCAGTGGAACATAGGGCTTCAAACTGGTGGCTCAAAGTTTCTGTAGCGGTGTTTATTTTACAGGATGGGGTTGCTAGCCTCATGCCCAACCTTTCCTCATCATCAGCATTATTTCTGGCTTAGCGAGGTAAAGGAGTGCATTGGCCGGGGATCGAACCCCAAACCATGTGCATGGTCGGCGAGTGTTCTAACTGCTATGCCACCGACGCACGTTCTAACGTTTGCATACCACTTATTGACTTCTTAATGCTTAGTATTTGTCTTTGTTCTTGTTCAGTCTCTAATTTTAATTCATCACTTTGTGATTGTGTGTTGATATTGATAATGTGTTGTTTTACGAATGCGATTTTGTTTGTGTGAGTCAAGGACATCCCGACCTTGGATTGTATGTAAGAAGGGTCTGGAGCGTAATTCTTGCTGACAGAGTTTTGATCCTACTTCGCTGGGAATATTCTGCTTGGTTTTCGGGTACTTCTTACGATTGATTCCGATTCAATAATTTTGTTGTATAGTATTTGTTTTGTATCCGAGAGTTAATTTGATCTGTACAGCTATGTGACAACGACATTGCTGAAGTAATTTTGAGTTTTGATATGCTATTACTGTTGAATAGTACCAAAGATTTTACTGCAAATAACAGTCTTTTTGCTGTTGTCAGGACATTCTGGGACTATAAGTAACTCAGGAAGTTTTGGCTAGCTATACAGTAAGAACACAACAATTGGTTCCCAGTGTTCAGACCAGAACACATCGATTTTGGTTGCTACAGTTTGATTGGAGAGATTAAATATGAGCACAATGACTACCTTGGGTACAAATAGTTCCAAATAGTAAGTCCTAAATCAGATAAAACCAGCGTTCTCAATTCCACTGTTTGTCATTATCAGACAAGTAACATCCAAAAGGAATAGTATCTTCTCATACTAGCTCCTACTTTATTATTGAACTCTTTATACCTACTGGCTTCTCGAACTTATGGTTTGATAGTACCTTATGGTCACTTAAGTGTTTTTCTTTCATTAGTGAGTAGTGATGAAAATCAGGAAGCATATTTATTCTACTTGGGATGCATCAGTTGTACGTACAGCCATCCCAGTTGGTAATGCTATTCTTTTAAGGATGAATTCAGTACACTATATTTTGACCTTCTAAATATTGCATGCACGCAACTGGTTTTCTATATTGCATTGTTGTACTGTAGTTTTCACAGTACTTCAGCTGGAGAAAGTTGGCTTCCTAAATATTATTGGGCATTATAATTTGTTTGGGTTAATTCTTTTTCGTCACCTTCCTTCTCTTTCAATATACATCTTGGATTGTAGAAAAATTTGTTGATCAGATTCCAGTTACCGTGTACAAGATAACGGTAAATGTATTTTTCACATGGCGAATATAAAGTTCTAGTTCGATAAGTGGTAAGACAACAAGTTACAATATAAATCAAATGTTAGTGATCCCATCAGTTATCCTTTCATCTATTTCTATAGTTTTCTGTTAAAATGAAAATATGTTGTTAAGTCTAAATCAAGTAGTTTTATTACAGTTTCACTTTTCACATTTGCTTGTTTAAATAATAGTTAAGTATATCTAATCTTGATTTCCCGCTCGAATTAAATATAAGACGCATTTCGTAACTTTGTTTACATTAGTCTGCAATCTAATCAACTAATATTATGTGGATTTACTTAAAAGTTCATATTAAAACAAACAGCAGGGATAAAATATTCTTTTTAATGTTTAAATTGAATAGGATAATTCAAAAGTGATATGACACACAGAAGTAAAGTTAGAATGTAATTAGATACTTGCCAATTTGCACACTTCTGGGCGAAATTTCATCGTGGTTTCCTTTTAAGTTTAAAAATATTCAGGTCAGGAGATGATAACCACTTGATGTCATGATCAGCAAGAAGACAGAAAGCAAAATATGAAAGATGATACATTCTACTGACCAGTACGTCACCTGATAGACCTCACTATAGTTAGGTCGAGGTTATGCAAACACCAGTCACTCATTTTACTAGTTTGAAGTCAGTGTCATTGATAGTTTTTAAAGACATATTAGTTCAAACCACTCAATGTGAACTTACCCAATAGACCTAGACGATAATTCAGCGTGATACCAATTGTATCACTATAACTTGCTAATACTGACAGATCGTAGGCATTTCCACTCCCATGTTCGTATGATTCACCGTGTACAAAAAGAAATACTGGTCGTCTGTAAGATTTTCTTCGTTTACCTGTTCAAAAGAAGAATAAATAAGGAGAAAATAGAACTTTGCTAGACTCTGTGAAATTTATGGCCGGTTGTACAGTAAATAAAAGAAAAATAGTCATTGAAGATATACATTTCAAATTTGCAGTATGCAAATTGGACATTTCGAGATGAAATTTAACTGCATTTTCCTATAATGCTAATGGACTCTTCGGTGTATGACTGAAATGATCGTCCAGTGTTTAGATTCCATCGATCTGCCTAGTACTATTTGATGTGAGAGGCTTCAGCTACTAAAACCAATCAATCAGTAGTGCATATTATCAGGCATGCATTCCACTTGTTTCGAAACTACTTTACTTCCACTAATCACTGAGGATTACAACTTCATAATGAACTTAATATTTTCTGTGTTAAGAATAGAATTTGTTTTAATTTTTCAACTGAAACTATCTACCCTACATTTTAAATATTCATATATTTAAAACAATTAAATTCCAACGTCTAGATAATTAAATTTAGGGTGAAAAAAATGATACAAGATTCAGTTGCGTTAACTTATAATTAAATCTCTGTCTTCTAAAATAGGATAATTCAAAATATTCTTGTCTTCTAAAGTAATTAGATGATGTATACATTTGCAAAGTGAATTAAGTAGACTTTCATTTCAAAGCTGTAGTACCGTGATGTTTAGGGTAAAATTACAATTACAACGAATGATGTTCAGTATTATTTGGGAAATAAAAAGATTTGCGCTAGGATGTACAATTTTATTTGAGCCTGTTCAAAGTAATGAAAAACACTGTCTGTATTTTCTTTGAAGCGCATGTTACATCAATTCACTTTTTAAAGAAAATAAACGAAAGAAGCATTAGACTAGGGATAAGCGATATACTATCCGCTTTAATTCACGATACATACAAAACGGAAAGCTCAGCGAAGCCTTTACAGTAAAGACGAAAATAAGAAAAGGCTGCCCAGTATCACTGATGATATTTCTGATTATGGTGGACTGTCGGTCGGTCGGTCGGTTTTCGACATAGAACTTTGCACAGATGTGCGACAGTTCAAGTCGCCACACTCCATGTAGCACACAAAGCAAGAAGAAGAGAAAGTTCCACGGTGTGGGCATCCGGTAAGTAACAATCGCCCTCACAATCCGAAGTGCACACGAAACCTCTCTAATCCTCACTCACCTTTGTCTTCATCTTCATCTCTATTATCTTGCCTTCCTTATGGTGGACTGGATCATACGACAGACAATGGGACGGAAAGACACTAGAAGATCTGGACTTCGCAGATGGTTTTGTGTCTAGTCCCACATACACAGGCGAAGGCAGACAATTTGGCAGAAGAGGCGGACAATGAAGACAGGACTACAAATGGACATAGAGAAGATAGAGGTGTTCAAGAAACCTAGCCAATAACAACAAGCAATAACCACCGCTAACGGGAGAAATTTGAAGGAGGTCACCTCTTTCACTTAAACCTAGGCAGCATCTTTTCAACTACAGGCGGTGGCACAGATGAGAACGTCAAAGGTAGGGTCAATCAAGCAAGACAAGTGTTCATCAATCTGGAATCAATGTGGAAATCTGCTGCACTCAGCATAAAGAACAAGATTCGGATATTTAACACTAACGTCAAATCACTTCCTCTATATAGTTATGAGATTTAGTGCGCATGTCTCGAAAGGCATTTTTAACAGAATACGGACTTTCATTAACAACTACCTTCGCTCTATACTAAAGATTTAGTTATTAGAAAAGAAAAGAAACAAGAAATTCTGGCAATGAACCAATAGGGAACCTATCGCCCAACAAATTAGTAGGAGGAAATGGGATGAGGATATAGTTGAGTGACACAGAATGCCAGGCCCTCAACTGGAACCCGAATGGGAAACGACGAGTTGAGAGTTCGAACTTGACATGGGGTAGATGGCGTAAGAAGAAAATGAGAGTTTATGGGCAGTTGTAGAGCCAATTGTAAAGGATTGCACAGAACAGGATGGAATGGAGACGTGTTCATGAAGCCTTATGTTCCATTCGGAACCCAAAGGAGTAATAATATTACATGCATGACGTACACAAGTATTACTACTGAGTCCACCAAGTAATGATTTTTAATTTAATTTTGTTTTGGTTGTTAGTTAATTTCTCTCATTATAAGCTTAATAATTTAGCATTCTCACCCAAGTGAGTTAAATTAAATGTCGGTGAAGTAAGTATTTTCAAAGCAGCAGCCATACAAAATTTTAGAAATTCAAGGGCTACTTACTATAAAAAAGTGGTTAAAACTCCTCATTCTTTAATAACCACTCAGTTAGAGAACCAATGAAAACCAGGTAGTACTGGACAGCTGTTCCATCCTAGTTTGGTAACCATCGGCAGTACGCACCCACTGGGGTTCAAACCGAGGACCTTCCGCTAACAAGGCAAGCTCGTATACCATTCAACCACTGGGATCCAATTCAGTGGCCCATGAACCTCTGACTTCTACCAATTCGTGATTTAGCGCGACCACTAACCAATGTCATCGGCGGGAAATCTATCTTCACACTTGACTGAATACATCTCACTGGTCAAACTCGAAAACAAATCAAATCCTTACAAATCAACCAGTGAATAGCATACAGGTTTGCCTTGTAACCAGAAGGTCCTGGGTTCGAACCCCAATGGGTGCGTGCTGACGATGATTCCCAAACTAGGATGAAACAGCTGTCCAGTACTCCCTGGTTTTCAATGGTTTCCTAACCGATATCAATCCATGGTCAAACTCGATAAACAAATCAAGTCCTTACAAGTGAACGCGTGAAAAATAACTACTCAGTTATTTATTTTATTTTTATTTTTATTTTGATTACAGCTTGATTCCACACCGTATTTTCAGTACAAGTATGGAATTTTCACCATGGATATCGGTAGCCCAAATTTACAGGCCGACCATAGATATCGGGTGTGCGCCGGCAGGGGATCGAACCCCGGACGATATGCATGGTCGGCGAGAGTCCTAGCCACTGTGCCACCGACGCACAAATTAATTGGAGATTTGATGAGTCAGACACTTATCGGCGCCTACGAGAAACTAGAAAGAGAGGTCAGTAACAAAATGGTTATTTAAATAATGTCATTGGATGAAAACTAATTAGTTTTGCAGAAGGAAGCACTTAGTGACAATGCACCGTCATTAGATAATCTTTAAATTGTTCCCCAGTCTTATGAACCGAGAAATTAGTTACTTAATAATACTCTGCTTACTCAGTCTCAAGGTGAATGACTCTTACAATGATAGTAAATGAAGAATTTTAAAATGAAACGAAATAACTCTCAGATATCATGTAATTTTTGTGGGACACTGGATTTTCATTTAAACCTTTTCCTACGTATCTTAGATTAAGCCACCCAGTTAAGTCAATTGCCAATCTATGAGTGGTGTAACTCATTTTTATGCATACAAACCTGCAAGCTACTAACAAGTTGTATTCATTTTGACATTAAACCATACAGACAAAGTTTCACCAGAATTTAATGGGAATTTTATATTTTTAGTAAATTTTTCAAATTCAGATTGTTTCATTTCCAAGGCTGAGTTTAGTTTTTGTCGAAACTCTCTGAGATAAGTCAAATCTCCACAAACCGAACAACTGTAAATTCAGCTGTAGCATATTTATCAAAATGGTTGTAGGCATCGTTTTTACTTAATAAAATTTAATAATTAACTCCTAGAAATTTTTTTATGTTTATTCGTCATTCAGGTCATCGTCAGTGAACCTTCAGAGACCTGTCTGTAAGAAGAATATACAGAAATTAAGGACCAGAAATGTTTGACCTAATATTCAGTACATTTAAAAAAGCTATGAGGATGATTATCACAGCGCTTATGAAATTTCATCTTGAAGATTTTTCAGTTGTGCAGATAACATTACTCTAAATTTCGATTGCTATCTGAAGTTCATCCATTGCATTGACATAATGCGAATGACATTCCGTTAAATTTCCACACTCTAAGTATAGACAACTTCAGCTAAATGTTAGATCTACTCAGCTTTTTGTTCATTTTTTAGATGACTACTTAGAAATTTAAATTTCTTAGTCACTAGTTTTCGTGGGAATGCCAAAGCACATGAATCGGGATAATAGACAGAAGGGATATTGTTTGCAGTTCTCAACACATTCTAAAGAAACTGAAACTGAAAGGTTCAGTGATATTAAACAGTTTGAATACATATCTTCTTTTGGAGGCATATTCAAAGCTATCAACGAACAAAAGAAACCCCGACTACTACGTTTAGCTGAAACTAATGTCATCCGAAAGTCGAAAGAAAATCTATGTACACAGAGGAATACAGTTGTCAGCCATGCACTTAATACATTGGTGGTCATTTTTACCGAACAAATTTGTGCAACTTTTTATATTACATCACCCAGTCTTTTGTATTTTCTACCATTTAAACTTTTATTCTTCATCTGAACGTTGCTCATCTTATTCCTGTTGTTATTGTATAATATTCTGTGTAGTTGAGTAATCTATTAGACCAACATACTATTATTCCTAGTTAAACTCTGCTTCTATTCATATTTTTAGCTCCCCCTTCTTTCCAGGTTATTGGTTTAATCATCCCATAAATTGTAAATCTTTTGAAAGCCCAATAATTTAACTGTTTGGCCACTCATGGCTTATGTTAGTTATGGTCCTTATCAATCAATGACTTTTCTTGAAATCGATAACAAAGAGTACTCTTTTCGATAAATTCATCATCAGGCTCTACAATTATATATACACATTATAGTGAATGAATGAATGAATTAGTGTTATGAACAACATTGATGTTTAAATAACATCAAATCAATAATATTGATAGATTACAGCTGAATAACATCAACATAAAATAAGCTGAATGTCAGAAAAATTAGGAAAGATAATATTACAAATTCATGAGTTTATAGTTTCTACTGAAAGCCAGCCAGGGCAGTAGTAGTGGCTGGCTGGACTTGTTTCTTTTGAACACAGAGCACTGGTTGTTTG